GCATACGGTGGTGGGAATAATTATAGCAATATTTATATTATTATTATTATCATATTAAATATTAATATTAATATTAATATTTAATATGATATATATGATATTTTGTTATGTTTTTGTTTAGATACAATGTAAAAGTTACTTTGAGTCTGCCCATCACTGTATAATTATTTGTACGATATACAACTTATTTTCTTTTATTATGTCTAGGTTGCAGATTTTATGCATTTGCTACAGAAACGTGTAAACAAAACACGAAACAGTAAATATAACAGAAGAATATAAAAATATCGTAGTAATGTGTGTTATCACCTTATTCATATTATAAAGAAAATATATAATTTTTTGTTTAATACAAAATTTGTCTTATTTCTTACAACTGACGCACACAAATTTTTATTTAACATGCAAATAGTTTGAAGGTTATCGCAGACTTTATGCTTCTTTCGGTTATTACAGATTTTTAAAAAATTCAAGTTTGAAATTGATCTAATTTTTTGAACTCTAAAGTAGCTGTTATCAAAATTCTGTTTAGTAATTATGCAAATTATCTATAGCTATATGAGCCTTAGAGGTACAGGAAAGCTTAAATAAAAGAAAGATTGCAATATAACTGTTGTTTTAGGCGAGTATGCGTTTTGATTGGCCACCGATCGGAGCTATCGAATTGCGTTTACAATTTTGACTGCTCGTTGATCGCATCATCCTCCTTGGACAAGACAGCGAAGGTTTGGGACACGAGGATGCACTCCTGCCTGGCCACCTTGCGAGCACACGACGACGAGGTCCTGGACCTGACCTTTGACAACAACGGGAAAAAGTTGGCGACTGCGAGCAGCGATGCAACAGCACGTGTTTGGGACGTGACCAGCAATTTCCAACAGTTGGCGGTAATGGAAGGACATAGAGAGGAGGTGTCCAAAGGTAGAGCAATATCGTTTAATCAAAATTTCCAGCCATTAATCATTTCTTTTCTCTTCCATATTACCCCTTTCACAATTCCACAGGAGACTTTCTTTTGAATTTTTTTATTAGGAAATTCGCACGCTACATACAAATCTGATGCTCTGTAGAATCAGTAGGTTATAGATCTTTATGCAAAATAAAAATTATATTTATTAGTTTCAAGAAACAACAGTTGAATGAGGATGTGTATTTCTTCTATTAATAATTTTAATTATTTAGACGTTCTTACTATTTTGTGTTTCACATTATTGTTTTTCTCGTAAATGCATAAAAGTCCGCAGTGAAATAAAAAAATTATTTTAAAAACGGATGAATTAATCTGTGATAACGTTAATTTATTTTTTTTCCTGTTCTATTTTCATTCTTCTCTTTAAAATTTGCACTTTCATCCATTTCTTTTTGAATTTATTTATTATGCATAATTCAGATTTTCAATTTTGAGACATTGTTGTGTAATTGTTGTTGTTCTTGATCTATAAGTGTAAGTATTGTAAACTTTGTCTAACAGTGATAACTAGATAGCAGATCTTTAATACTAATTCACATTTTTATACGTCACTTATAAAAAGAAATGAAAGATGTTACTAGTTCTTGTTAATTTACACTTTTTTTAGGATGCACGCTTTATATTTATACTGTGGATATTTATGCAAACTGCTGTTTTCATACATTATGTTATGGTAACGAGAATTGAAGTAAGTTCTTGTTGATTTATACGTCTCATTGCATTTTAGATTTCTTTGCATTTTATAAATGCATAAACATCCGCAATCTGCAGGATGTCTCAAAAATGTCTCGCAAACCGGAAGTAGGGGGTTCTTGAGGTCATTTTGAGTAACTTTATCCTTAGCAAAAATTCAATTCGCGATTTTGTTTATGAGTTATTAACGAAAAATACTGACCAATAAAAGGCGAGCTCGACTGGCGAGGCGGCCCAGCCAATAAGCGCAATGAAGCCTAGTTCCGCTCATTGGCTCGGCCGTTTCGTGTCAACTGATCTCGTCTCGCATTGGTCACTGTTTTTCGCTAATAACTCGTAAACAAAGCCAGAGATTGCATTTTCGCTAAGGAAAAAGTTACTTCGAGTGACCGCAAATTACAGTAAATTCTCCGTAATTGACGCCCAGATTGTGTTGTTGACAATCGGTAACTACAAAAACGAGTCGCAAGGCTCGAATAATTGTATCTCCTCTCTCCAAGTTGTCCATTTTTGTGTACAACGTAAGCGTCAATTAGGGAGAATTTACTGAATATGCCTTTGTGGGAATATGATCGCATTACTTTTAAAGAATTAAAATGATTAAAAGACGAAATATATATATATATATATATATAAAATGTAACTCTCATATTTCTATCAGAAACCAAAAAGAAAATTTGATATTAGAATCCGTTTTAGAATAAAGATGAAATAATAAATATTGTAAAACTGTGATTAAAAAATGGGTTCAGTGTGTTTCAGTCCAAATGGTCAGCATTTATTGACTTCATCCATGGACAAGACATCGAGATTATGGTCCGTGGAAAACGGCTGCTGCGTGCAAAAATTGGAGGGCCACACAGATGACGTTTTCAGCTGCGCGTTCTCATACAATGGTGACACTATCATCACCGCGAGCAAGGATAATACGTGCATGATTTGGAGGTGACTCGATTGGTTTCAGTGTAGTCTCTAGCTCCTTCTTCTTCTTCTGTTTGTTGTTTATATCGTATACTTTTATGCAATTTAGTTATTCCAATAATACCCTATTTTGTAAAAAGAATTTTTCTTCTAGTTGCGATAAAAAGATTTACGTGCAATCACGTTTCTTAATTATCATGTATAATAAAAATATTCATAAGTAATTAAAGTTCGAAATATACGGTAGCACTGTACAGAACTAAAATATATTTACTCTAATAATTGTTGCACGCATTTAAATTTATGCAATTCTCAATTTTAACTGGAAAAATTAGACATTTATTTCAACACTAGTTACATACATTTAAATTTAAGCTGCTGTTTTAATTGAAAATATTACGTAACACACTGTGCAGAATTGAAATACATTTATTTCAGCACTAGGTATATGCATTTAAATGTATACAATTATATTCGTTAAGATTAGTTTTTAAAAATGCATCGTTATTAGAAAACAGTTGTGTAAGTATAGTAAATTAATGTCTCGCGAAATGAAATTTTGTGTTTTAAAAGGAAGAAACATCAATTTTAGACTACTTACTTCTTTCTTACATTAAAATTAAACACGAAACTATTGATGTTGACCTTTTTCAATCGACAATGCAAAAATGATCGTAATTAATTTGTTTGGGCTCGTTTCTGAATAATGTATAGAAAACGCCTGAATGGATAATGTAATGCGATACAATGCAGTTTGCAGGAGCTTTAGACCATGTTCCTGATAAGCTGAGCTTTCTTGATCATAAAATTAACTGTATTCGAAACAAAGTCACAACTCTACGCTAAAAATGATTATCATAGTCAAACACCGAATAATTGAATTTATTAATTATACCTGGACACGTTCGCTGTCAGCGTTTGTTTTGGTCACAGTCGCTATAACAAGACTGCACATATATTTGTAAAATAAAAATGTTTTGGATCAATCGTATGTAAAACTATTGTTTGTAGTAGAACTTATCGTTCTACTATGAGACTGTGTTTTTCTTTTTAATAATTTTAACAAGTCTAATGTGATAAAATTAATATTCTTAAATCCTAGTTTCGTTTCGGTACGTTTATATCACAGTTATTAATTTTTACAAACCTTACAGATTTGGAATCTAGTTATAACATTATATTAAATATAATATTATATATTATATTATATTATATTACATTATAGCACTATAATGTATTTGTTTTGTAATAAAAACGTTATAATTTTCTTTAAGTAAGTATAAGACAAAATTTAGTAACGAATGAGTCAAAGAATCTATTATTATACCACAAATAATATCTTATTAGTTAAATAAGTAAAATTTTATTTTTTCCTCTGTTAGATATAAGCGTACCGTGAACTTTTACGCATATTTAACGTTAAAAACAATTGTGATATAGTTGTACGACAAAGCTTTTAGAAAAACTGCACAGCGGTGAGCAGATTTTAATGAAACGTGTTCAACTAATTACTCGAACGTATAATTAAAACGCTGCGCGCGTAAGAATTGCACCGCTTCCACGAGACATGACAATTAAAATAATATCGCGTCCTTGTGTCACAGAAATTTTGTTAGGCTGTGTGCGCTACGCTGTATCATGGTAATTAAATAGCGACAAGACGTTCTAGTCTCCTTTGATTTGTATTTCGTAGCTTTCCGATTAGAAAACCGAGGATCATTTTTTACTATACACATTACTATACACATAATGCGTATAATTACAATACCAACGAACCATACAATAACGATTATGTTCCGCTGCTTTGTGATTAGAAAGTGGAATATCATTGTCTACTATGCAGGTGATACTAAAAACAGAAATTGCAGTGATGCGCGTAATTGTAACAACAACACACAATATAACAAGAATATGCTGCTTCGAAAAAGCTGTTTTGTGTAAATGTCTTCGGGTTACAACTCACTTTCCACTATTACATATTTATCTACATCGTTTATCTACACTTGCATTTACTACACATTTATTTACACTATTTGTCTACTACTATGTAGATATAATAGATAAAAATGTTTGTTGGAATATTTGCAGGAATGTGTACAATGTAAGTAATAATTAAGGAGGACATGCGAAATAATTAGATACAGATGTTTAATTGAACTTCTCCGCGAGCGAACACGAAGTTTTGCCGGGTCGCGCAAATAATGAGCAGTAAAAAATACAATTACATGGACTCCGGTGAAGCTTGTGGAAATACTGTTCGGAGTATGTGTAAACATAAATACGTAAAAGTGTCCCGGCGTGTGATTCGAGAACACTGCGTGGTTGGTAATGTGCCAACAGCGCGGGATTCCGGCTTTAACGTGCGATCCAACTTTTAAAACGGCCTCGAGATAAACTCCGTTTTATTATATCGTCCGCGCAGCTTGCGGGAATATTACTTTGAAAGTAGCATTCTGTGATGTTGGATTTTTAGAACGTATAAAATAGCGGGGATATCTGTATAATTTGCAAGCGGATAGCATAAACAGCACGATATACATATAATACTAGGAAGTAGATTATACAGCGACTTCTATTAGGATTCGAATACTCCTCCACACAAAAAGAATGTCTAAACATTGTTTAGAGATAGTATAGTTTAGTAAAAATTAGACTTTCTAACATCTCAGAAATATTCAAACGATAGTTGTTCCAATTTATAAAAATCTATTCTCTTTGAAGAGTCACTGTAGTTAGTATCAGAGCTTGAAACATAATAGCGTTTAAAGTTTTAGACAGAATTTGAAATGTTCGAGTATGATTTGTTGGTATCCTAATGTTATATTATATTGTTATTTAATTCATTGAATAAATATCTAAATGATTCACCGTATTAATTAATATCAGTTGATTTTTCTTAAGGTAACTTTAATTGAAATGACGAATTACATTATAATTGTATAGATAATAATATTTGTAAATTTTGAACCAAATTAGGTCTACGTGACAATAATATTCATTGTTTAAATATAAAAAAATATAATTCTAAATAATACATATAATATACGTATAATTTTATACATTTAATTATGTATATAATTATAAATAATATACATATCGCGTGACTTCACTTACAAAATTAGAATCTTCAAAATAGCTTTACACGTATATTTGTCTCGTTTTAGATTTCTTTGCATATTGTTTACATAACAGGAGTTCCAAAGCAATGGAATTATTTTAAGAAAGAGAATTATATTTTGCTCAATGGAGCATTTATAATGTGTACGGCGTTTTGTGCACACAGATAAAAGTCTCCCCACTGCAAACATCAGAATTTAGAAATGTTAATCACGTGGTTTACTATTTTACTGAAAGTGTCAATAGTCGTACACGCTTATGCGAATGGCCTTGATCAGACTGTCAACGTTGCCAGTTGCTGTCTTTAGTTAGTCGGACGCAACTAGTGTGTTCAGTACAAAATCCAGCGCAGTCCCGAGCAGTCTCGAGCAGTCTCGAGCCGTCTCGAGAAGTCTCTCGCGTAGTCTCGATGCAGTTTCGAGACAACGTTAGGTCTATATTGTTACATTGTTACATTGTTTCATAGTAAAGAAAACGATAGATTATGATCAAAATTTCAACCGGTTCGTGTACTTAAAAAATGTCATTACAATTTACAAAATTAATTTGTAATTTTTTCTACATCAATTCATAATAATTGTGAACTATCTAAAATTAGCGTGAATTGGAAGAAATATTTTCTTTAAGAATCATTACAAATTTGATTGACAGATCTATAAACTTGATGCTTTGTTTACGATTTGGTAATACGTTTTTCTTTTTCGAACTTCATTTTGTTATGAAAATAGATTTGAGAGACTTCCACGGTTTTTTAATTTTTAGTAAATTGCTAGAATATTATCATTATACATAAGTGTTTATAAATTTCATCATCTGTATGTTTAGTCGACAAGAAAAAATTATATTACTTATTACTTATATAACTCATTATATACATTTTATTATTTATTGCAAGTTTCTTAGTCTGAAGTTGTCGTATTATTTGCGTGTCAGTACAAAGTACGCCTTATTAAATAAATAACGTACTAAATATTATGTACAGGACATTGAAAAGTGGGCAGAGAAAATGACAACATTCTCTGTGCATCAACCTAGTGTGTTTACAATGCGATCTGACCTGTTGTTGATTTAGAACAGTGTAAAGAATAATAATCGATTGTGCTCTTGCGATCCTCATCCTTACATAGTCTTCTTCAAAACTATTTTCACTATGTCAGTGAAAATATAAATGAACAATTTGAAGTTACTGTGTTGCAGGTTGTAGTTTCGTGAAAGTTTTTTCGAAAACACAAAAAGACCGCACAATTTATTTCTTAATAACGTTATAAGTGACACACACAGTATTATTAATTAATTTAATTATAGTTTTGAATTAAATCGTAATATCAAGGATCATCGGAACCATAAATGGTAAATAGTAATAATGAACAATAGTCAAATTCTTTGAGAAGCCAGTTTGCGTGACCTGGATTGTCTTCATCGATCGCTGTTGTGTCATCGGTGTTTCATTTCGATGGAAATTAGTGGTTTGTCGAACGCGAAGTCCGATTACCTAATATACTAATTTAAGAAGTAGATAAAACTTGACAGCACTAGGAATTTTTTAATCGATGAGCAAAAGGAAAGTAGATATTAAACAGCCATTTATTCTCGCGTTTGTTTCTTCATTAAAAATTGAAATCAGTCACAAGAGAGAAAACATATGTATAATTCAAAGAATTATTTACATTGCTTTAATCACAAATATTAAATACACTTTAAGAAAACACACGCAGATGCATATTCTTAGATGTAGTAACATAGTTAACATAGTTAACACAGGATAAAGATTTGACTTGTGTTCATGAAAATATTAACTTTATTATAAACAATGTATTATTTGTTTCACTATAATATGTATTTTTAATTTAATAAGACATATATTTGTTAAAATATCAAATTTTACTCAAAACAACCATGTCTTGAAAATTAAAAATTTCTTAACTTTTTTTCTTAACTTATTGTTTATATGTAGCCGATATTTTAATAATTAGGATAAAACATCAAAGAAAAGTTGTCCTGGCACATGCTTTTATATCAGCAAAAANATTATCATTATACATAAGTGTTTATAAATTTCATCATCTGTATGTTTAGTCGACAAGAAAAAATTATATTACTTATTACTTATATAACTCATTATATACATTTTATTATTTATTGCAAGTTTCTTAGTCTGAAGTTGTCGTATTATTTGCGTGTCAGTACAAAGTACGCCTTATTAAATAAATAA